ATTTCCTGAGAGCACCTGTTTGTGTGTGTGTGTGTGTGTGTGTGTGTGTGTGTGTGTGTGTGTGTGTGTGTGTGTACTCGAGGAACAAAAGCAAGTGCTTAAGGGAATATTAGGAATTAAATACAGAGAGAGGGACAAAACCTAAGAATGAATGTACACAAAAGGGAAGAAACGGACTGTAAAAGAGGCACATAGATGGGTTGAAAAAGGAAGATAGAAAGGACAAAAACAACAAAAGCAGTAGAAAAAACAAAGTAAGCAATAAAAAAGGTTAGAATGATAAAAAGCAGGAACAAAAAGGCATTGAAGAGGATGTGTGAGTTTGTCCCAACAGCAGATGAAGAAGCTGGTTCAGAGTGCCGAGCCCCACCTTGCTGAGGCTGTCCAGTATCTGCAGTGCAGGGTTCAGCACCGTCTCCTCCCACCTCGACACGTCCGTCACCTCCAGGCCAAACACCAGCGGCACGTTGTCCCCGGGTCCTACATACACAGGGCAAACACAAATGCACATTAGGCATTTTACAAGTCCAACAAGGACTGCCAATGAATATAATTAAGTTGTGTTCAGGGCCAACATTTTGATTAGTGTTTCCACCGTTTATGGACCTTGAACAGGAACTTTTCTACCACTTTCTACTGTTTTAGTGACACTATATCTTCCCAATGCGTTTCCGGTCTTCTCTTCTCATTGACGCTTGATTCTTAATGTGTTGAGATGTATTGACTTGCTAATAATGTTACTTATTATTTGACATCTGATAAGAGACAAACAGACATTATAGCAGGGACAATGAGGGGGACTTCAGGATGCATTCAGCATAGAGCGGGACCCTGACAGTAGCAGTGATGTGCAGAAGCCGCGCCCTGAAGCTCCGTCAACCTGCTGACTCACACTGGCTCGATAATGTCTCTCCCTCTCTCCCTTCTCTCTTGTGCACCACCCCTCTCTTTCTCTTTTGTAATCAGTCTGGCTTCAGCTTTCACTCATTCTCTCTCCCTCTAACTGTTCCACCCCCGTGTTTCTATTTTGCATCAGTCAGCAGTCTCTATGCTGGGCCTCAGCACTACACAGCAGCACGAGTCCTGTGTGTCTGTGTGCCTGCATCATGAGCCACTGCCCTGCATTGATTGACACAGATGCGCAGGAAATGAGGGCGTGTGCAACTTGAAGAGAAAGTGACTTCAAAAGACTGCAACAGTGTGTGAAAAAAAGTCCAATTGTATGCATACCTTATACATTTAGAGCACATTTAAGTAAAACATATTAAAAATAGCAAACAATAAAGAAAAGTGAAATCTAAAGGGCAAATGTGTACTACACTAGCAGGGAAATCCAAAGCTGTTTTCCTAAGTACAAAATAATGTTTTCACCCTCTGTCTGAAACCAGAGCTCAGTCTGCTCTGGTTAGCTGTCCGGCTCTGTTGGGATTGGTCAACTGCTTAGAGATGTCCCACCCCTTAGCCTATAACGTACAATGTGTTAGCTGTCCGGCTCTGTTGGGATTGGTCAACTGCTTAGAGATGTCCCACCCCTTAGCCTATAACGTACAATGTGTCTGAGCAGTAGCCAATAGAAGTGAGACCATTGCACTAAAACCTATATAACACACCACAGGAAAGGGAAAACTCCCAAGAAGCATAAGATGGTCTCTTTAAATAAAATCTGGCCAGTGGTTTTACCCTCATCCTACTAATTACAAACAAATATAAAAACAAACCAAAGTTATAAAAAAAAACTAGGTTTTGTAGAGGTAATGATTTCAGAAACACATGATACATGACAAATATATAAAAAACATGTCTATGAAGTGTTTTGCTCAAAGGTCACCTATCATGCTATTTTTAGGCAATAGCATAGGTCTCATATATATGAAAATATATCAAAAACATGTCTATGAAGTGTTTTGCTCAAAATACCAAACAGATCATCCATTCTAGCCATGCCTCATATTCCTCTATTTCACTTCCTGTTTCAAAAGTGCTGATTTTGGGTATAAAGCTTTAAAAAAAAAAAAATTGATACCAAAAGGAGGGGGCTGAGCTCATGCGGGACCCGGCAGCTACTGTCTAAACTAAATACTGCCGTGATGAAACACCATATCATGGATTATCAAGGATTATTTCTGAAACAGTATGGAGCTCAAAGGCTTTCTCTCTTGCCGGTTATACCACAAGGTGAGTTCCTTTTTATTTCCTGCTTCTTCACAAACATGCTCTCCAGTACAGGTTAGCTCTGAGTGTTAGCGATGCTAATGTAAACACCGACCATATTACGTCCAAAACAGTCGGGCATTGTTTCTGATAGCAACTTTCTGATAGGGCCGTGGGTCTGCATTGCCGATATTACGTCATATCGGACGCAAATCTGGATCAGCTCCGTTGTATCCCCGTTTTTAGAGATTTGGGTAGGGAGGAAAAGAGAGGGTTTTATTTTCTGACGCTACGTTAGTTCCCCGACACAGCAGGGACACATATTTATGTATAAAATACATAAAAAAGTTCATTTTGCATGATAGGTCCCCTTTAAGATGGCTTTTTCTTCAGCATTAATTGGTTATGCTGCACCTATGGTGGCTAAATAGGCAGCTGCAAAATGTCGTGCTATCTGTGCTCACATATCCATTTGTATCATGTATGATACACCTGTTTAGTGCTGAGGTGGTGATATAACATGTGAAATACAAAGCTGAATTATAAACAGAATCGAATCGTCATTGTCATTTACAGAGTCAGGCTGCTAAAATTCACAAAAGAGACACAGAGCAGGACCTAATAGGGAACCGTTTTTCATATTATAGAAATGTGTTAAGAGCATATACTCACGTAAATGAATCCCATTAACCTGTAAGGCACAGTTAGCACACTCAATTATGGCTTAATCCTTTCCACACACAGCAGACGCCCAACAGACTGAAGTTATTATCTCTGCTGGGAACTGTCTGGGACTCCATCATTACAGAGGCATACAGAGCACCGACTGTATAACTGGTTATCTGTACAACTATTGAGTCTCTGAGAAGAAGGAGTGTGTGTGGGAACAATGAGAGTTTTCACATGGACACGCCTAAGAGCTATATACTTACATGTCGGCCTTGGTTAAATTCCTCTAGCCACCATGACATGAATAATTGGTCTGTGGACAACGGTTTTTGAAGCCGCTACTTGATGTTTTACATGCTCTCTTGTTTTCTTTGGAACCAGCAATGAAACGAGGAAAGTTATAAGAAAATACCACAGACAACGACCAACCTGGACCATGCCTTTGCAGCAACCTGTCAATCATAAGGAAGCCCCGCCCTAAAGCATACTCTGCTTTATCGCCTATTTTACGCAAAATGGGACAATAATTTCTTAAATTTGACATCATTGCATGTTAAGGAAGACCTGAAAGTAAGGATTGAGATCATATACTAATTGGGAAAACGTTACCTGAAGTAATAAACCAAGTAAGAACAAGGGTAACTTTCTCTCAGACTTCTATACAATCACACTTATTTTTTGCAAACAATGGAGTAGCCCCCTCCTGACCCTTAGAAACAATGCAGGTTTTAAGGCATTTCCGCATTTTCTTTTTGATGCTTGTTCCAACTCCTAGTCTCACATTGCAAAGAGGCTTTTCCTTCACAATAAGCTCCTATGTGCTTTCCTTTAAGTTTCCTGTTAACGCCAGCTTAGCTTAATTTAATTGCTGACAAAGGCAAAACAAACACAAAGGTCCTTCATGGCAACATCTCAGCTCTCTTGCACCTGCATTACATTTGTTTCCAAGAGTGTGTTTTCTCTGTGCACAACTCTAATCCCAACACTCGGACTGTGTGATGTGTGTTTATATAGTCCTTTTGTTCGAGAATGTTGTTCTTTTTAAAACAGCAGTGACAATCACAGCCTCATGTTTCAATACCAGGAAAGTCAATACTAGGAAAGTATGTTGTGTTTGTTGCACAATAGCAGGCAGGTGGTGGCATACCTATACCAGATGAAGGGTTGGTGCTCTAATAAAAAGCTCTTATAATAGGAATTGTTACCATTGAATCAGAGATCCAGGGTCCTGCGATTGAATCAAGTCAATCCTAAATACAGAACTAAATCCCAGTTCAAATGTAAGTTAGAGGGTCTTGAGCATCTTTCTCTTCAGTGATCGTTATGTCTTGTTAAATGTTTGTTCTCTTGCATCTCGCCTTTAATATTTGTCCTCGTTGTAGTTGCAAATGAGAACAGAAAATAAACATTTCAGACTCGATCTGACAATAAAGTATTATCGTAAATACTTCACCTTGCCAGCCGTGGCCCTTGTACCGCTATCTCTCTCCTTACTTTGTTCTGTTAATCTCTCTGAAACACCCCCCCCTCGCACACTTTGCACGATTCCCGTTTTGCCACCTCCCACGGGGCAGAGCGGTAAATAAAAAAGGGAGATAATGTACGGTGGGTTGCCAGATGCTGGATGGGATCTTGTTTGGGATCTGGTGAAATTTAACTCTGCTAATCCACTCTGTAGTGAATGAGGGTTGATAAGAAACGTTAAAAGGACAAAGAGCAGGGGGGTCGACACACACACACACACACACACACACACACACACACACACACACACACACACACACACACACACACACACACACACACACACACACACACACACACAGTAAGCGTTGCGTTTCAAACACACAGGGGATATTACTGTGCCAACAAGAAAGAGCATCCCCTGTCGCCCAGCAGCTGCTTGCCAGTGTGTGTGTGTGTGTGTGTGTGTGTGTGTGTGTGTGTGTGTGTGTGTGTGTGTGTGTGTGTGTGTGTGTGTGTGTGTGTTGAAACAGTAGTCCACCTGTTGCAACAAACAGGCTAGGAGTCATTTGCTGCGTCATCCTGGTGTTTGCCGAGCGAGGGTTGTGTGCCTGTGTGTGCTTTGCTATAGAAACTCACTTACTGCTGCCCCCCCCCCCCAGCTGTTTTTCTTTGGCTGCCGTCCACACAGTAACAGCTGCCTCCATTCACTGAGTGGCCTCCTTCCTCTTTACTATGGTTCCTCTTCCACTTTTTGTCTCCTTCACCTCCTTTGTTGTTTGTTGTTTGACATTTCTGCAGCAGGTCAAGTTTAAGTCAAGGATATTTCTTTTTTGTAGATCCGGTCAAATTGATTCAAAAGATGAGTCATTGTATCAGGATTGTATTATATATCTATTGTATGTGCGTACACTGTGCCTCTGTTCCTTTTCCTTCACTCTAGATCTATTGAAGCTGCTAAAATCTGTAATTATATATCAACGATAGATCCCAAGACTGCTAAAATGGGAAGAAGTCGCTCACATGATGAAGATAACAATCACACATTCCTCAATGGAAATGAAATGGGATTAAAAGCCCTAATGTGAATAGTGTTTTTGAAAGTACACCACATCTGGAGACGCTGCCTTTTTCTTCACGAGAACCATTGCCTTTTTACAAAGATGATAGAGAAAGGCTGAAACAAGACAGTATTT